TTCAGACAGGAAGGGAGAGGGAGAGAGAGAGAGAGAAACATCAATGAGGAGAGAGAATCATGGACCGGCCGCCTCCTGCACGCCCCACACTGGGGATCGAGCCTGCACCCCGGGCGTGTGCCCTTGACCGGGAATCGAACTGTGACCTCCGGGGTCATAGGTCGATGCTCAACCACTGAGCCACGCAGGCCGGGCAGCACTGTATAGTACTTTAAGACATCCTTCAAACAACAAGATCGAACCATTCTATATAATAAAAGTCTAACATGCTAAGTGTCCGACCGTCCGTTCGACCAGCCGCTATGACGCGCACTGACCACCAGGGGGCAGACGCTCCGACTGGTAGGCTAGCTTGCTGCTGGGGTCCGGCCGATCGGGACTGGGCAAGACAGGCTGGGCACGCCCTGGAGCCCTCCTGCGGGCCCTCCCCGGTCCCGATCGTTCACCGATGGGGTCCCTAGGACTGGCCTGCGTTTTCTCCCAATCCGAGACCCCTCGGGGCATGTCCGCAGGCCAGGCAGCGGGACCCCGGTGCAGGAATCCATGAACCGGGCCTCTAGTCATGTATAAGAACCGGTGTCCGGGAACCAGAAGAGGCTCTTAGGGCACCAGCGGGGGCGGGCGCACCTGGCATGAGGGCCGCGGTGGGGAACAGCTCCTTGAGCCGGGCCTGGCTCTCGTCCACCAGCTCCTCCTTGGTCGTGGGCAGCTGCAGCACGTCTATGATGATCTGTGCAGCCTCCAGCGCCTTCTTGCCCATCACCAGGGACTTGACGTCCCAGCTGTACTGCTTCCCATAGCGACCGCAGATTTCATTAAACGCCACCGAGTACAGCCGTTCCGTGTCTGCGGAGACAAAGGCGAGACGGAGATGGGGGATGATTGGCGTGCGGGCCACGTGCACATCGAGTCTGGGGCGCGCCCTGGCTGGTGTGGCTCAGTGGATAGTGCGTCGGCCTGCAGACTGAAGGGTCCCGGGTTCGATTCCCGGTCGAGGGCACAGGCCTGGGTTGTGGGCTCTATCCCCAGTAGGGGGCGTGCAGGGGGAAGCCGATCCATGATTCTCTATCATCATTGATGTTTCTATCTCTTTCTCTCCCTCCCCCTTACTTTCTGAA